ATTGCATTACATAAATCACCATTTTCTGACACTAGTATTTAGCATTCCACAAGTTTCTTCAGGATAATCAAGCAGTGAAAGAAAAAGTGTAATGTAGCTTCCCTTGTGTGGTCCTGGCCATAAATTTAATTTAGTAGATTACAGTTAGAAGGCTGCTGCTATTCTTTTTCTTGATTATTATTTATTTTTGTGGACACGTATTATATAACGTGCTTAAGACCATTTGTTCCATATATATTTTTGACTATCAGAAGTCATTGCTAAAATGTTGGGCAATTTATTTTATTTTTCATTTGCAGATTTATATAAAGCACATCATAATTAAACATGATAACAGAAAAAACAATTAAATAACAAAAAAAATCTAAAAATCTTATCCTACTTTAATCTTTCTAACTTAAAACTTAGAACCTTCGAGACAGCTGTTGTTGACACAATCTTAACAGAACAATTTCTCATATTGGGGAGATTAAATCAGTAAGTCTTGAACTCTATGCCAAACATTACCTATTTATTTATTTGAAGGGTAAGCATGCCAGCATTGACAGATTCAAGCTTCTCTTGGTCCAGGACAGCTATATCTTGCCAGGGACAGACCCAACTCACACCTTCACTTTGTGTGAAGGTTATTTACCTTATTAGTGAAAGGGAAGCGTGAATTAATGGGACTGGACAATTTACAAGGAATTGAAGAATCCAAATCTGTTGGTTCCCATGTTGGAGTTTAGGGACGTCAAATAGCAATTCAGCTATGTCATGCTTAAGTTCCCTTCAGGCTCTTTGCTGAATATGTTCTCCACACTTTGCTAGAGACCATTCCGTGTAGTTGGGCTTGAAGTATCTATGATCAAGTTTATGATACAGAAACATCTCCGGAGAATCCTCCCTCGCACACCCACATCAGAGCATGCCAGTTTCCTCTACAGTAAACCCCAATGCAAATGTGCTCATTTATGCTCTCTTTCTTGCACACTTACTTTATTGTCATTCGGACGCACAGTGTCTGTGACAAGCCTTTTGCTCCTGATGGGTCAGAATCTGTATTTATGACCAATTTTGACTCTTCTGGTTAGTTGCTCTTCAAGCTCTACTTTGCTTCTTCTAATTCTGTTTTAACAATGCATTGGTCAACTCCGTAATGCCTTCTAGTTTATTTGGATACACTTCAGGTTTTGAAGTTTGACCTCTCATTTCTAGTAACCCTCACGCTGCTACTCAGCCATGTTGACTTCCTCTAATGCTTCTGCAAGCCCCTCCTAATAGGTAACAGGCACTGCTACTGTCTGATTGCTATGTCTCCAAAACATGAAAGAATTTCACTTTTTACATACCTTTTATCTTCTTTACAAAATTGAGAGGGCTTGTTATTTATTCCCTCTTCTAAGCTGGCAAAGCTGTAGTATCTAGTTTTGGCCTTTTCTGACAGCGTAGGAACATCTCCCAGGAACATCCCCACCCCTGGGACGGGTGCAGAGCTATTGCCACTTTATACCCTCTTTGGAGTAATGGGAGGAAACACGGCTGTTCTGCGCAACCTCTACAAAGAATGTTCAAGGGAAAACAGTACAGCTAAGCTATAACTGACCTGAGCAGGAGTGTAATGGCCTAAAAATTTACAGTAATGAGAAGTTTTAATTTGATACCAGAAACTGGAATGAACAGATGAGGTCATGTTTCAACTAATGAATGTAATATTCACCGTTACTGTCAGAAGGCACTTGACTGTAAGGACTAATGCCATTACTGTTATTTATAATAAGAAAATCACTAGAAAAATGACCCAAAGCAATGCACAACAGCATTAGAGAATTTACAGAATAACAACTAAACACACATATTGTCTGGATACCAGGGAGGGGAGGGGGAAGTCCATTTTCCAAAGAGGCCAGCTTATCTCTACATTAATAAATATTTATTTAGAATATGTAAAACAGAAAGCATCTGTTTTTAATTCTCCTAGCTTTGAGCTACCAGTCCTGGTGGGTTTTTTTGGTGGTTTTTTTATGGTTTGGTTTTGGTTTTTTTTTAAAACCAAAGCTCCTTCTATAATTCACATTGTCTAGTACACAGGTTTATCACATAAGTATAGGAGATATGCACCCATCTAGGTAAAGTGGTTTACATGGGAATTTGATTAGGGCTGCATTTCAAGCTCAAACTTCCATGGAAAAGTGGAGATGCTTAAGATCTAGATGAGGCTGAGAGAGTTGGGGCTGTTCAGCCTGGAGAAGAGAAGGTTCCAGGGAGATCTTATTGCGGCCTTCCAGTACTGAAAGGGGGCCTACAGGAGAGATGCGGAAGGACTTTTTACTAGGGCATGTAGTGACAGGATGAGGGGGAATGGCTTTAAACTGGAAGAGGGCAGGTTTAGATTAAACATTAGAAAGAAGTTTTTCACTTTAAGGGTGGTAAGGCACTGGAACAGGTTGCCCAGAGAGGTTGTTGAGGCCCCAACCCTGGAGGTGTTCAAGGCCAGGCTGGACGTGGCCTTGGTCAACCTGGTCTAGTGGGAGGTGTCCCTGCCCATGGCAGGGGGGTTGGAACTCGATGATCTTCAAGGTCCTTTCCAACCTAAGCCATTCTATGATTCTATGATTCTACAATCTAGTAAGACTATGTGCTAGTCCTGGACCTTCTCCCATGGCAGCGTAGACCAATCTGAAGGTCTGAGAGATGAGAGTTCCTAGAGAATCCCAGTACATTCGGAGTCCCCCTCTGCACCACTCCCTTTCTTCTACAAATAATAAAGAGATTGTATGGGAGTAATGATCTCAGGGTAGTCGTACATAATCTTATATGAATATTAGTGTGTGATCAGAGCCTTTCACCCTTTGAAGTATGTTGTCATAAAGAGTCAGGCTTCAACATATATTTTAATCTTCTTTAAAAAACACCAGGTCTTTCATTTCTTCAATATTTAATTAATTTTTTTCGTTGATGGTTAGAATTCAGTTATCCTTCAACTTTGAACACCAGATGCTCTCCTTATATTTTGTGAATGAATAAGGAACCAGAGAATTTCAAAACAGGGCTAAGAGTTTGCACTGGATAGCAATAAACATGGATTTTGAACTACTACAAAATGTAACAACGCAATAAGCAGCTCTAAAAAAGAAAGAGCATCAGGATATTTTGATCCAATGCACTAGTCAAATAACTGTATTTGCTCCCATAATGACCTGCACTGTTCCCTCAATAGTCACACTCGATGACTATTCACAACTCTGCACATCTACTTCACCACTATATCATTTAACAGAATGGAAGCAATTGAGAAGCACAGTCATTATGAAAAAATAAAATATCCTTAAAAAAAGAAATCAAGCTTGAGAATAAGATTCAGGGTTTCTATTTTCTGATAATATAACTTTAGAAATGATGTTATGAAAAATGGGTATCATCCAAGTGAATGAATACAATTCTTTTTCTCTACAGTCTGAAACTCAATATCCTTTTAAATAGGAAAGAGTATCCATTTCTTTCTCTTTTCCTACCAAGGAGAGGAATAAGAGGGAAAAAAGAGGTGAAAAAGGAAAACAACACTCCTTCCATTTGCTTAGGCTACATGCAAAGGGCTATGTTATTTTTTCAGTTTCTTAAATTATTCTTACTTTTCACATGTTTTTTCTACAAAGACAGCTGACAAGCAATATATAAAATGTTTCTGAATCCTTTTACACATAAATTATGCTATAGGCAATAGCATGCTCCAAAACCAATTTAACCTGCCCCTTCAAAAGCTCCCCCAGAAAGCCCCACACTTTCATCCTTCTGCCCTGATGCTAATCCATACAAACTTCATGGATAGGGGATCTCAGGATTTTAGCCGTCAGTACAGCTATTAGCCCAAACCGTCCTATTAATCTTTTAAAGACCCATCATTAAGCTGCATCTTGAAAGTGAACGCTTTTTTTGAAATTTACATTGAAAAGAAGAATCACTTTTGCTCGATGTGGACCTCCTACACATGGGAGCAAACATTGCCGTTGTGGTACATCACTGAAAGTGCCAATTATGTAGTACAAGTCAGTCCAAAACCTGGATACCAATTTAAGATCAGAAGTTGGATTTTTGGCAATATGAAATTACTGGGGCTATTTTTCTTAGCAAATATTCAGAGGATAATTGTATGCTATTTATTATATATACATTTTTCATTTAAAGATATCAAGAGGTTACTGGAACTTAAAGGCTAATTTGCAGTTTTATGATAAAAAGCATTAGACCTGCCTTCAAGAGATCTAAACTTAAAACTCTTTCATGGCTTGCCATGTCACCTTGGCTTACTCATCTTTGTGTTTCAACCTGCCAGTTTTAACATAATATCTAACGTTGATATGAGACAAAGCTAAAGGTGACTGGATAGAAGACAATAGTACAAGCACAGAGCCCTGCCCTATTTTAGGATTAGCTAACTTGAAGTCTACTGACTGACTTGAGGAGCTGATAACAGTAGCTTACAAGACAGAAAGAAAAAACAGTGCTTGAATATCTTGTTTTCCATCACAGAAGTGAGTGACAGAGAAAGCGAGGAGAATCTCATTCAGTGAATTCTAAATTTTTACCCTTAAAAATCCTTGCTGTTGACAGAGCTTGTAAATCTTGACAAGTTCTGGGAAAAATGTTACATATTCAACTAGTGTTGCCATTGCAACCGAGGCATTTAGCATTTTCAGAATTTGTTCAATACTTAGTTAATAACTAAGGTTAAGCATTTGATTAAGCAGCCAATTTTACACATTTCCAAAATACTAATGTTTAAAGAAAAAAAACATCAGTCTATCACTTTACACACATTGGGGTTTTTGTGCTCATCTGGAAAAAACAGGATGATCTCTCAACTGCATCACTGAGATTTACAGAGGTTTTAGTGTCAGGATTAGGTTTTCACCCCAATTCTTGCTGTATTGTTTGCAACTTAGGCATATCAAGAACACACTTTTCCCAAGGAAGATTGGTAAACAGGCAATGCTTCAGTTCACAAGAAAGGCGTGACTTACCTTGTGAAAGTTCCTGAAATATGCTGCCTTCTCATCTGGAAATTTTTCTAGCCTCCTGGGTCCTTTACTGGAAGCCTTCTTGAAAACCAACCAACAACGCCTGAAAATCTGCAAAGAAAATCAATGGATTATATCAGTTTTTATTTAAAGGTGGACAGTATCACAAATGCATTCAGTTACATAACTGGCTTAGGAAGAAATTGTAAAATGACAATATTTTATTCTAAAAGTCTGGCAAATTTTGAGAACATCAGTTATTTCTTCACAAGTAACCCAAATTCCTCAATTTATATATATATATTGATTGTCAGTCCTTTGTAGACTATTTTGCTTCAATTTCTTTCATACATGCCAAATTTGACATTTCCTGAGATGCAAGTAAATCCATGAACTTTGAAAAATAAAAGAATTACAAGGCTGTCACTGGAGAAAGTACTTTCAGAAATGACTCCATGGATTTCTAGCTTTCACTTTTATACTCTATTTCTATGACAGTATTGATAACATTGATAAACATTCATTGCAGCTTGTAACACAACACAGTAACCAGCAGTTAGTGTAAGCTTGTATATACAGAAAAGAAAACACAAAAGTTGAAATAAGCACCAATGAGATCATTGCTGGACAACAACATCTAGTCCTCTTGCTTAATTCTATGACAAACTTTCTAAGAAAAACCTATGCATATTATTAAAGTTTGGGAACATGTAGTGAAAAATAAAATCCTCCAGAAAGCACAAAACAATATTATCATCTCATTTTAATGAGAAACACACTAGATTTTGCTTAAAATGCATTTTTAGGCAATAAGAGTACTTTATTAGACTATTCACCAAGTGTTCTGGTGGTATTGCCATAACCGGAAGTTTAAAATCAGGATTAAATTATCAAATAAGAATACCTTTGCAGTTCAAAGAGAAGCTGATTAAGGATAATCCTCTAGACTATATTATGCAAGTAAGGGATTAGATATTAATCTAGTTTTATAATCTATGAAAATAGTTTAGTTCATTCTCCTCCTCAGTACTTGCACAACTCTATAAACACCACCATACAGAATTTTATAGTTTTATTTCAAGGATGCATTAAAAAACAAAACCACTCCAATGCTAGTTAATAGTTCCACTGCCCATGTGTAGAGAAGAGCATTATTTCTTCATAAATTCGAAAAAATGTAATGACACAACACAAGAAGTACAGCACTATTTATTTTGGATCAGATCAAACACATCTCCCATTACAAAAAAATAAAATAAAATCAAGGAAGTATGAGCAGGGAGAGCTAAAATTAGGAGTTTTCCCCTCAGTGTCATACTGAGTAAACTGACTAAAAGGAGCAAATATAGTGTCATTAAAATAATTAAGCTTAATTAGCCATGTTTTGATACAATACTGACACTATCCTGTTGTCATTATCTCAGATCAATGGTATCAGTCAAAATAAGTTTTTTCTTTTAAAAACCTACCATTGGACTACAGTATCAACATGTTTATTTATGAAGACTTTTGGAAGAAAACATAGCATTTAATGAAATCTTCTGCAAGTATACTTCTTACAAAGCATACAAGTTTTCGGGATTTTTTCTACTAAAGTTGTAAAGCGGCAACTGTACAACTGTACTTTCTATCTCAGAAATTACTTCACCTAACCTGGGGGAAAGCAAAGACAATATCATATTTCCCGAAAAAAAAAAAAAAAGACATTACACTGTGGGACATCATAAACCCTCTTTATTAGATAGTACTTTCTTCAAATAACACCATGGCAGTGCTGCAACTTATTTTACCAAAGCTACAGCACGGCTCCCACAGTTACCACCTGATTAACCCATATTAACTCTTCACAGTGTTATGGTGTGAAAACCTCCACTTTTGCAGGTAACACACAAGTAGAAGATATTCACCCTATTTTGACCATACTAGAAGCAATAGCACCAACTGTCCAAAATGGACATATTTATTCATTTAACAAAAGTGTGGCTTTTAATAATACTCCTGGCTCTTCTGGGATCTGGGTTGGTTTTTTTTTTCAGCCTATGTGTATTTTTAGTTCATCTCTCTTCCTCTGAGGAAAGTCTTTTCCTAAGTTCTTTATCAAGGTAAAAACTATTGCCTTCATTTCAAATCTTATATCGATTTCCTTATTTCTATTACCTGCCCTAAATGGTTTACAGTCCTCACAGACTTCTCTTTAGAAAAACAGATCAACATACCATCCCCATCATCAGTGGCGGTGGGTTTTTAGCACAGCCACAAAATCCACATTTTACTGATGACTTGAATTTTGGACAGCTGGTGATAAGGTAACACAAGCTTTGTATCAACTGACAGATTAAGCTTTTTTTTTCAGGTTTTCTCTGTTTGTTTGTTTTTTAATATGGCACAGTTGTATTCTGTTATAATGCAAAGTATCAGTTAGATCCAGTACATCAGTAGTATCCCTAATAGATGGAAAACCAGACAAGCAAAGTCAAGGAGTCAGATTTCTCCCTGCGAGGAAGAGAATATTTTCCAGATAAAAGGTCATCTAATGCATACTACAAAGCAATTCCTTCAGTGATAAATGAGCAGGCTCTCCTGAATGGCAACTTCAGTCTTTTTGCAGTGGATATCAATCTGGAAGTGTGTTGAAGCTAAACTGTCAAAATTTCAAGAGGGAGGCTTTGACCCCCTTATCAGTGTGCACTTCAAAGTATCCATCGAAGAGCGCTAGATGCTAGATATCTTTAAGAATACTCCTCACTATGCCTTTTCCCAAATTTCAGCATTGGGATGAATTCAAGGGCTTCAGCATTTAGATTGCGGGAATGAACAGCCTTTGTTTTTAAAGAACACTGAACAGCAAGAGGAGGGGACCATAAGTTTTTCCTTCAGACTATTACTGCTTCAGTGTATTGACATGTGTTTTTTCCAGACCTTTACAGAGAGGAGATCTGAAGAATGGAATGGCTTGAAGAGGACTCCTGATTTGGCATGTACATAGACCAGGGTACATCCTTGCAATTGGAATTTTCTATTTTTTTTTTTAACCTACAATCACTTTTAAAGCTCGTATAAACATATACAGTTCCACTGCACTTCAGCAGCATTTTATCTGATTACACCAACAGACAGTTTGTATCTCAGTGTTTGAAAAAGCATTAGCATATGAATTTACCTATAAATATGAATAAATAGGTGCAGATGTGAGCACACAGCAAACAAACATTTGCCTTTCATAAGGCACCTCATTGTTATACAGAAGCCTCCTCAATTATTCACGAACTCTGAGATACTCTTTTATCCCTGGCCTAGTTTAGGATGCCATTGGCTGTAATCAAAACTTCTGAAAGACTTCTAAAGTCCTCAGATAATTGGGGTAGCCATTGTGAAAGAAATCAGTATCAGCCCTTTAACAACAGAGAGAATGAGAACCACTCACACTGTTGCCTCCATAATAGATTCTATTTCTGAGGAGATTTAAGTGTCTATTTTTCACATATGCATAATTGAAGAAATGCCAAATATTTGCTCGTTTAATCAGTTTTACAGCATTCTTGGATGAGTTCTCACTGCTCAACAGAAATGTAAAAAATTGTGTTGAGGGCAAACACGATGAAGGCTAACACTATACTGTAGCTTTTTTTCTGGAGAAATAGCACTAAGTACATGCTATGTTTAGATTTCCTTTTAGTAACATATCAATTAGAAGGACCAAAACTTGTTCAGTACAAACCTGAGAAGGCTTCTATCGAAATTACCTGCTGAGTCCGTGGCATAGCAGAACCTCGTTAAACCTTCCTCTCTCAGCCTTCCTCTCTCAGCTTTATAAGGTTGGCAAAGCCGAAAAAAAGTACTCCTCTAGATCCCACTACGTGTGCAACTACATAACAGTAAGCGATGGCAGTAACTCAGCCCACTTGTGGTCTGGTGAGACTGATTCGCTGCCCCTTGCAATACCATATGGGAATGATTTTCATTACGATGTTCAAGCTTGCAAGGGACAGTAGCCTCTGCTCCTACAGATGGACTCTGAGCGGCCTTATCTCGTTAGCGAGAGAAAAGGGTTCCAGATCTGCAACAATATAACCTTATCCTCCACACATGATTTCTGGACTCCTTCCAGTCAGAAATTCGACTCCCAGTGCTGCTCCATTTCTATTAATCTTTAGATACCACTTCTTTTTATTTTATTTGAAACACTGCAATAGACCAATTCATAATGAAAATCTCTGCATGATTGTCTTTTCTTACTTTTTCTTCTGCTTAATTTACTTCCGAGCTCACCTTTCCAGCATGTTTATATTTTTTAATATTCTTGACTAATATACGGAACAGTTTGGCCTCTGAATGGATCATTATTCTTCATGTTCATATCATACAGTTCTGTTTTATTGTTGCCATGGTTATTCATAATAAATCCATTAAAACATATTACAGGAAATCCATTGACTAAATTAGTTTTCTAGAAAGTAGAAAATCTTTTCCTTTTCCTGAAATAATTTAAAATGATTGGTTTACATCGGGAATCTTATGTAGGATTTTCCATTTTCCAGATATTTCTAATGCCTTTTCCTAGTCATTTACAATAGATGTTATTGAGATTAACTTTTTTTTCATCCACAGCTGTAGCTAATAAAGTTCTGCCACTCATCACTAATATTTAGAGAAGGGATATTTATTGACACATCTCTAAACATTATTCCAGAAATTTCACCTCACACTCCAAAAAACCCAGAAACAAAAACCCTCTCAGGTACCTTTTTTTTTTTAATGCCAAAAAAGAAAGTTAAAACACTACAAGCTTTTTATTCCAAACCACTGAAGATGCTCTGATATCTCCCTGCCCCTATCCAAAAGGTAATACAAATGGCAATCACTATCTTTACTATATTGGAAAACTAAAAAAAAAAACCTAAAAACCTAATTTTCTGTCGCTAGCTGTAGAAACATTTGTCTCTTGAGAGAAGCAGCAGTGAGTCAGCTCCTAGTTACCAACAGAAACCATCGCTGACCAGAATGAGCACTGAACCATCGCTCATGGGGCCTTCTGCCAGCATAACCCACCAAACGGTTCTCCCAGGAAGACATCTACATAATAATGTTGGGTCCTGCATTTACGTCTCGCTATCTGCAGGAAAGGCTACTTGGTTTCTCCCCCCTGACTTCTCCCCCCTGACTTTCCACACGCAGTGCTCTCCTGTTAGAAAACGCATCACCTGCAGTGTATGCATTAAAAACACTAAAACATGAAAATGTTCCCATTTACTTCACTAGTTATCTCCATTAATAAATGGATATTGGCTTTTCTGAGGGTGTGAGAGCAACTAAGTATGTTGCGAGGTTAAAAACCCACTCCTGATTCACAAATTAAGAACTGCAGCATTCATAATAAGAAAAATAAAAATAGTTGTCACAGTAAAGTCATATTTAACCACTGTTTTGACACCCACCACTTTTTCCCTTTTTTCCCTGCGTATTTCAGCAAAGGGAGAAGAGATGAGAGGTGACACCTTACCGCTTCAGTGGAACTACACTTGTCACGCATTCAAGAAAAATTTAAGAGAAACGGAAAAGCAGTTATTATCTGTAAAAAGGCCCAAGAGGAAAATGGGAAGACAAAACCATTCACGCCTCAGCTAATGAACAAGTTACAGGATTTAAGTTATTCCTGAGGAAAGACAATAGGAAAAAGAAAAAAAACAAACCTCATAGTCGCAAGCCACCTACTTCAGTTACCCACACTTTATATTGGAAAGACAGAAGTGTAGTGTCCACATAGTGTTGGAAGAAGGCATGCCGTCTCTCCCGCATTCAGGTTTCTGGGCATCTTTGAAATTAAGGTGCCCTAGAAACTTTTCCTGTCTTCCTGTCCTGG